CCAGCGAAACAAGGGCGACTCACATGCCTCTGGTTGTTTTGACATCATAGAAACACTCCCGTTCGGTGAAACTGCTGAATCTGCTCTGGTTGAGAGTTTAACGCCGCTGCCCAGCTTAATGGCACAGTCACCGCCAAACTTCCCCAGCTAACCTCCGCTAGTCACCGCGGCTTTATCGTGGCTCACGGCCCACCTGTAACTGAGCTGAAGCAGGAAACGGTGACCAGACGCATTCCAGTTAAAGCCCAGCTCATCGAAAGAACAACACGCAGCACTTCTGAGCTCCAATGAAACCTCTGCTGATGGCTGCACTTCCTTGTTTGAGCAAAGCTTCACTTTAATGGATTCTCGGATACATTTTCACAAACTGAAAACTTTGTAACAGCCTGTAACACTATATGCGTGTGCTTGTGCATTAACTGGAGGTGAATCTCTGTGCTGGCTCCCACCTGATTCCTCGACATCACACATATAACGTTAAGTCTAAACTTAGACGCAGGAGCCACCTTAAGAGAGGGACTTAAAGCCATATTACAGTTTAAGATGTGAGAACAAAGTTTACAGCATATTGTATCTCTTAAGTCTTTTTTTTTTTTTCTTCTTGTTTTTGGTCTCTGCATTCTCCTGTCGCAAATCAAGATCTAAGGCTCCTTTATTTGTGTTGTACAATAAATTATACAGGAAACTGCTGCTCAACACAGGATCTCCTCATAGTATAGATAAAAATAGAAGAAATTTATAAGAAGGTAGATAAAACATGTAAATATTACAAAAAATGTTCTGAAGTCTAGTCATGTGCGTTCTTAATGTCCTGTATCGTCTGCCCAACGGCAGAAGTTCAAAAAGATGGTGAGCAGTGAGCGAGTCCTTAAAGATGTTTGTTGCTTTCTGAAAGCAGCAGGATGTGAAGATTTCAGGGCAGGTAGGAGAAATGTCTGATCCTTTCCTGGGAAATCGTTCGGTCAGTTCTAGAGATGATTCTGCTGGATTCTCCTCACTGTGAGTGAAGACACAAAGTTAGTCGAAGCCAACTGCAAAGGGGGGACCACGAAAACATCCGTAACAGACCTAATCAGACCTTTCAGTTACTGTCACCTGGCTAAAACTAAAACTATGTACAGCCCCTGAGTAAGAGCCTCGTTATGAGCAAAGGGCCCAAGCAGTTACCTGTGTCTGGGCTTGACTGTCATGTTCCTTGATCTGTTCCTGGGGAGGTTTTTTAGTATGGTGGTCATTTGTCCCACTGAAGGATACTGCTGTCCCACAGCTCCTGGTCTCAGTGAATTTACTTTGTCCGTCAGTAATGTTATGGCTGATAGCTCTACTAATAAAAATGAATCTATTTTTTCATATTAAAATCAGTTGTTAGTTTTATGTGAGCTGAAAAATAACAATTGATGTGTAAAATTTAAAAAAAAACAGCACTTAGTGGTTTGTGAATCTGTCACCGTTGCTCTCACTGAAATCCAAAGAGTAACTTCTCGATGTGAACACATGCTGTGTGATGAAAGCAGTTTGTTGTGTTATTGACAATGACCTATTTTTCCTCGCTCTGCCTCCCAGATCCACTCACTAATGGAGCCATTTTCTTCTTCTTAAAGCTTGTTTTACACAATTTTCTTCCCTGCTTAACTCTGCAGAACGCAGGATAACAGAAAGGAGCAATTTAGGCTGCCAGTCAGACTCAGCTTTGAGGACATGACTTCAGGTCAGAAGCGTGAAAAGCCTCTTTAACATGAAATCTATTTTTTCTTTGCTCTTCTTGCATTGAAACAAACTGCAGGATGACTGTGAATTGATGCTCAGTTTCATGCACACTGCATCGGTTTTCCATATTTAAAGCTTTTTCATAGTTGGAAAACTGTTGTTGGGCAATTTTTGTCATGTGGGTGAGATGACACGGAGAGTTAGTGGTTTAACCACAGTGTTTTAAGACTATTGATTAAATTAGTTTGCATTACTTATATAGTCAGCGGAGTAGGAAACTGATATCCCCTCAGCCCTGTGATGGACTTGTGAACCCCGCCTTTTAGATAGGCTTCAGTACCTCCAAGGGGAAACTAAGTTTGAATAGTGGGTAAGAAAATAGATGGATGGCTGGATGTTTCCTTAGCTGAAGCACGAGTTTCAGCCATGTTTTAGAAGTCTGAAGAAATCTGTCAGCGTGGCTCTGTGGGCTTAAACAGAAAAAGCTGTAAAACTAATGAAAATAATGCTACAAGTCCAAAATATGTCCTTCATATTCTCCAAAGGCGTTCATCGGGCCGGATTGGTGTCTTTTGTAGTCTGATTGTGACTCCTGGGCCTTAAGTTCGATATTCCCGCTTTACGGTTTGGGTGTGTCGAGGCGCATCCATTAGATAATAAAAACTGAAGAGTTTGAAGTTTGGAGGTCGGGTTTCTAACTTGCCGTCGTGGTCCTGAGCCATCTTTGCAGTGTGGCGGCATGCTTTCTCCTTGGTATCTGTGCCATCGGCATGGGTGATTGTTCTAGGTGTGCTATTATTTTTAGGTGTTTGGCACATGATGGGGTGCTTTGTCAGAGTACTGGCCAGTGAAATGCCACAAGCAAACATTTCACTGTGGATCAATATCATCCACTATATCTGTCAGTGGTGTTAATGTTGTGGCTGCTCAGTGTATACCTACTGCGTTTAAAGCCCTGTGTCACAAGCTGCTGTACAGTATCGGAGCCCCTGAACTGGCGATGAGTGGTCATGTTACTCGACTAAATAAGGCAACATTTCGGTGTGGGAGAGAGCGTGGAGCGTGGCTAATTGGCAGAGGAGCTTCACACGTTCTCATTGATCAAAGTGTGTGTGTGTGTGTGTGTTTCACAACAGATGGTGACAGTGCATGAGTCAGTGTGTGTGTGCGTATGACGTCCAGCTGACATCATGCAAACCAACTCCTTTGCCAAACACACCCAAGCCCATGCACTTGATTTCTAACATT